TGGACCCACACAGGGGAGAAGCCACATAAATGCATGGAATGTGGAAAGAGCTTGAGGCAGAGTGGAGATTTGTGTACCCATTAAAGGATCCACACAGGGGAGAAGCCACATACATGCATGGAATGTGGAAAGAGCTTCAGTCGGAGTGCGATTCTGCGTAGCCATCAAAGGAACCACACAAGGGAAAATACATTAGACAGCAAAGAGCTCACACATATCTAGAGGAGAGCTGCCTGTATGTTTCGAAGGGTAACAGGCAGACAAAACATTGGGGCGATGGAGAGAAAAAGAAGGCTGCCAACTTGCTCTCTATCTATCATGTGCAGCCGTTTGTGTGGTCTGGCTTGGTTCCTAGCTATATTTTTGGATTACATGAAACTCAAGATTTTACCTGTATGAGCACCTTCATACATGATTTGTGAGTAAACTGTTTTATTGTATTATCCTGGTGTTCTCGAGTTGTTATCTGCTTGCATGTGTTTGGATTTGGCGAGGCTGTATTGTTTTGAATCAGCAGACTGGCCTCAAAAGGTTTAGCGACCTTTGCCTGCGTTCTTCTCCTGTCTCACTCTTTCTCTCGTGCTCTCAGAGAACCCGTTAGCTTTTCGCAGCACTCTGTTTGATGCTGTGTCTTGGCAGATTCAGGCATTAGCATTATAAAAAACTAACAGAATAGATGTCATAAAGTGCTCATCCTCCTCCTCTTCTCCATAAACTAGAGTTCATAAACAAGTTTTTAAAAGATGCCTGAAGGCGAGGGGGGGAGGGGCCGTGTTTACTTCATTCAGGAGGGAGTTCCAGAGGTGGGGAGCGGCCAGGGAAAAGACCCCCTCTGTCGTCCCCACCAGCCGCGCTTGAGACGAGGGTGGGAGTGAGAGAAGGGCCTCCTCTGCGAACCACAGCGCCCAGGGCGGTTTGTATTCGGAGATGCGGCTTTGTAGATAGTCTGGTCCCGAACCGTTTAGGGCTTTCTGGGTAATGACCAACACTTGTATTTACCCCAGAAACAGACAGTGGAACTGCCCTAAGGTAGGAATTCTCCTTTCCCTGTACGATGCTCCAGTACTTATTCTCAACTTGTCAGCTCTCACCCAGTCCACCACTGATGACAGACACTGGTTCAGGAGCAGGGTGACATCCTTGGCTTTGGGTGGAAAGGAGTGATAGAGTTGGGTGTCATTGGCATAAATCTGACACCAAACTCCAAAACTCTGGATAATCTCTCCCGGCGGTTTCATGTAAATGTTAGATAGCCTGAGGGAGAACCTTCAACCCTGAGGGACACCCCCGGCCAGGGAGTCGAACAGGAGTCCCTCCCCACCCCCAGCACCACCACCTGGGTCTGACCTTCCAGGAAGGACGGCTTGCTATCTGACATTAGTTAGAGGCCTTGCCATAATTGTCTGCGTACGTAATCCACCACCATCCCTGTTGTGTGAAGTTCTCATTGTGTTTGTGAGAATATGAAGAGAAGACCTGTAAATAGTTATAAGTAGCAGATAAATCAAGCATGGACTTTGGATGAAAGTATATATGACTGTACAATTAATGCTATTGTTTTAAATTGTTGTTATTGCAATACTGTGGTATTGAATTGTTACCAGTGTTAGTCTATCTGAGCCCCCCCCCCCTCCTGCAAATAGTTATAAGTACCAGATAAATCAAGCCTAAAACCTCCATGGACGTTGGATGAAAGTATATATGACTGTATAATTAATGTTATTGTTTTTCATCTGTTCTGTATTTATGGTTTTAGATTGT